GGCTTTCTTCCCACATCTCACAGTCCTAACCTGCCTGAGCCTCTGCACCTGCTCCTTGCTTTCCCATCCTGCTCCACCCGGCCTCCTTTGGGCTTCTGGCTTTGTCCTGGACCAGGCCTGGACATTGTGGGCATCTGTGGGTGAACCATCACCCCTCTCTCTCTGTCTCATAAATTAAAAAAAAAAAAAAGTCATGGCTATGAAGACAGTGCGGCAATACAGCAAAGGCTCTGTTGTATATAAATACCAAAACACAGTTCTAGAAACAGGGAGGCAGGAGCCACAGGCACAAAGGCACGGAATCTTCACAAAGAACTTGCCTGTGCGTATGCCCAGGGAGCGGAGGGGCCCAGGAGTGCCAGGGAACTGGTGGGAAGAGGGCAGGGCAGGCACCGAAGGAACTTGGACTTGACCCTAAGGCAGTGAGGACTGGGGATCTGCCAGTGGGTGAGGCGCGTGGCAGGGGGTGGGAGAAGAGGATGGCAGAGGATGGGATGACCTGAGTGACAGGGGATGGACAAGAGGGGAGGGACTCCAGAGGCCTCGGAGCTCTGTGCTGGTCAGCGGACGACGTAGGGCAGGGCTGCACAGGGAAGGGAAAGGAAGGGAAGGGGCAGACCAGCACCAACCAAGGCAGAGACCCTGGGAGAGGACGAGCGGGTTCTTCAGGAATGAAGGGGAACACGGGCTCCAGGGATGCCTGGCAAGGCCCGGCTGGGAGCCGGGGATACTGACACCCAGGACTGGAGGGCTGCTGTGAGGCCAGGGGTGCAGGAGAGGACGGCGCGAGGACAGAACGCCGGGTCCTCCCAGATGCAGGAGATGGGGAAGGCGGGCCGAGGTGGGCGAGCACTACCAAGGCAGGGACAACTGTAAGAGAGACTGGCCAAACAAGCCGCACCCCGGGCTCACAGCTCCCCAGGAGACCTCAGAACCTGGGAGTGAGCGGGTGCCCGGGCTGCGGGGTCACAGCACGCGGGAGCGGCGCTGGTTGCTCCACAGGAGACACCCTGTCTCCCTGTCTGCCAGGCCCTCTCTGCCCAGGGCGCTGCCCGCCCTCCCGCGATCCCCACCCGGGCTGTGCTGTCAGCGTCCGTGCCAGTGCCCTGGCAGGCACTGACCGTGTGCTCTGCTCGTCTGCCTCGCTCTCCTGCACAGGCCTGCGCACAGCGGGCCTCAGCGAAGTGCACGCACGTGTGAGCGTCTCCAGGGACACCTGATGCGTGAGCCACACCCTGCCAGCGTGCACGGTGCTTTTCTCCGAGCGAGTCCCAGGTGCCTCCTGTCTGTCCCGGTTGGATATCACCATTCCCTGAACACAGGACCGTCCCATGCCCAGCACCTCCAAAGAAAACAAGTGTAGGCTCGAAGTTCACCCGTGTCTGGCCACGCTCCAGTGCCAGCCATCGCGGCAGGAGCAGCCCCGTCCCGGCCGTGCCTGGGGTCGGGGTTGAGCTGTGAGAGCCTTGCCGTCTGCAGACGCCGAGGTGCACTGCCCCTGTCTCCGCTGGTTCTGACAAGTCCAACGCGGCAGTGGGGCTAGGCTGCAGCCCAGTCTTCAGTGTGTGTGCGGGGAACTTTGTGTAACTCTGTTCACACCCAAATCACGTTTCTCCTCCCACAGGACAGAAACGTTCCCAGTCCCTGGGCAGCAGCCACAGCACTGAGGTTATCTTTCCAGTGCAAGGTGGCGGCGCGATCGGGTGGGAGCGGACAACAGCGGGCACTGAATCCTCGCTGCGCACCAGCACCTGGCCCAGCCGGCTCCTGGCGTTCAAAGCTGTCGGGCCGCGTGACCGGCAGCAGTGCCACGGGGAAAACAGCGCTGGCTTCCGCCAGGGAGGTCTGACCTCAGCAGACTGCCGAAAAATGAACCGGACAGCACTTCCCTTAGCTTTCTGCCTCCTCCCTGCCTGAGGAGGCTTAGTGGGGTACCCAGCAGGCACAGGGCAGACGCACCCTAACAAACAGGAATCAGGGTGTGCCGGGAGGTTGTGAAATGGCCAACGCTTGGAGTGCGGCTTCCTGCTTCCTTCTAGGAGTTGCTGCTCCCTGGGGACCCGACGTCCCACTCACAGCTCTTACTGCACAGGAAGGTTTCTAAAAACCCCAACCAGAATGGCATGCAAGGAGGAGGTGGTAAAAGCCCATGTCCACACTGCGGGGTTGGGGTAGGCGAGCAGGGGCTTGAGGAAGCACAGGGGTGAGGAAGTCGACCCACTGGACGGTCCCACAACGTTACCAGGGTGAGAGAAATGGGGCTCCATGGTTGGGTGACTCAGAAATGCTGGGTCAGAGAAAGCCGAGCGAACGCTTTTGCTGGGGCACTGTTCAAAGCCTTTAACCAGCCCGAGGCTCGTGCAGGGACGTGGCACAGGGCCCACAGAACGCTGGGCGCGCTCAGGACTGGCGTGACCGACGGCAGGACACACGCGGCTGCAAGGCCCTGTCTCGAAAAGCAGACTGGCACGAGCCCTTCCTCTCACTGGGAAGAAGCAGCTAGGACCAGTCTGTACCTTCGCCACTGCCAGCACTCTGACTTCAGAATGGCGACGGCAGCCAGGGCGACGCTGCTACATTCTCTCCTCTCCACAGAGAAGCAACCCCAAGGCTGTCCAGCAGCAGAGTCTCCGCCCAGCAGCTGAGACGCCACACCCCTCAGCAGACTGCCTGGGTCCCTGCCTGGCTCCTGCTCCTGACTCCACTCCCTGTTTAATGCAGACTCTGGGAGGCAGACGATGGCTCACGTAACTGCAGTGAGAGACCCTGGATGGAGCTCCTGGCTCCTGGCTTTGGCTTGGCCCGGCCCTGGCTGTTGCGGGCCTTTGGGAGTGACCCGGTGGGTGTGAACTCCCTCTTGCTCACTCTGCCTCTTACATAAATAAAATACAAACAGATAAGTAGAGCAGCACTGCCCTGGAAACGCGACCCAGGTCCGGGCCCTTCAGGCTGCTGGTCAGGTGACTCTGGCCTGCCCCATGGCCACTCGGGTTGGGTCTCCTCGCCTCTACACTGGAGGGGTTGGGAGTAGATTTCTGAGAACGGTCCCGGCTCCAGCAGTCAACCACGGGCTCTGAGCCCTCGGCACACCCTGATCATCAACCCTAACGTGGGTGACGGAAGCCGACGAGGTGCGCAAGTTCAAGTCTGCCACTTCCCCAGCTGCTCTCCTGAGTTCGGCGCCAACACCCTGAGTACATGAAGCTGGGCTCACACCCAGCCTGGGAAGCAGGCCCCTCCCTCTAAAGGGAAAGGGCTGGGGAGGGCGCACACCTAAAGCTGCTTCTCTGCAGGGGGAAAGACCCCGCGACCAGAGGAGGGGGAGGGGGAGGGAGGGAGGGGGGAGGAGGGGCCGGGCAGCTCCGCATTCCCCACCAGATGCAGCCGGTTTCCGGGACCACAGCTGCTTCCTGTCCTGCATATCCTGGGGTTGTCTGATGGACAGACCGTCTGGCCTGAATGCAGAAGTTACTTCCACCACAGCCTGCACAATCATTGCTGGGCGGGAGATGTGGTCTGCGACCTTCAGGGAGCTATTAATACACGCTGCCTCGCCCACTGCCTGCACCCAAGAAAGCTCTCTGGACAGCTGATCGCTCTCCTGTCGGCAAGGGCACCTGCCCCACTTCTGCACACGGGCCAGACGGGGGCGGGGGGCTGCACACAAACTCCAGCACCACACAACAGCTCTGTAAGTAAGAGGAAAATGCACGCGCTCATTCGTAACAGAGAGGCGGCTGTGTGCCTGCACCAGGGACGGGCGAGGCCTTGCGAAGGCCCGTCAGGAAGTCAGGAAGCATCAAGCTACCAGGAGGAGGCTCAGCACTGCCCGATGCTAAAGGAACAAGCTACCGAAATCCGCCCTGAGGGCTCCTGCTGGCCAAGTCACCTGGACACCCAGCAAGCAGCACACAATTTCCAGGCTCCTGACTCCACGTCCCCTCCGCCTCGGCGCTGACCCTGGGAGGGCCTCAGGTGGGAAAGCTCACTGCCAGTCACAGGGCCTCTCCGAGCGCTTGCCCGACACCGGCAGGGAGCGCGGGAGCTGCCCAGGATGCGCCCGGCGACCCCGGGCAGGGCCCACCCACCAGCCAGCACGGGCGCACTTCCCCAGAACGGGGCTTGCCCACGCACAGAGCTCTGGGCCTCACAGGACTGCCAGCTCTTCACCAACAGGGGAAAACAAACACCCTTCTGCCCGCTGCGCCAAGGCAGGGGAGTTTTGGCTTTTAGGAGGAAGGCTGCTTCCTCCTTGACTGTTCAAAGGTCAGGCTAGCCCGGAGTCACCGCGTCTCAGCTGCCCCGCCATCACACACAGGTCCACCAGGCCAGCGTCCCTGTGCTTACAGGAATTCACCTCCTCCCTCCCTCCCTCAGCTCTCTTATCTAGTCAAAACCCGCTTGAAACCAGACCCACGGCCACGGCGTGGGATTCTAAGACCCAAGGCCATTTTGCAGCTTGGACCAGTCCCCCACCCCTTCCCCTGGTAACCTCAGGCGCTCTCCTGTTCTCTATACGCTACTTTGGCTGCTGGTGACCGGCAGCCGGGGATGTCCTGGGCTTTCCCCGTATCTCCCATCCCTCGCTAGGGTGCTGTCACTCTGTCTCCAAAAGTGGCTCATGACAGGTGTCCTCCCAAGACGGTGGGAACGTGATAGCCACACCTGGCTTCTCTCCCTGACGCTAGGGCATCTCCCCAAGGGTCCGCCTAGGCCCGCTCCAGGCCTCTTCCCCAGCAATGCCCAGTTAGAGGGGCTACATCCCCCCGAGACTGCAAAGATCCCGCCTTCTCAGCCTAGAGCGCCCCGCCCCCTCCTCAGTGCCACCTGCTGCTACTCCCGCCCTCCAGACGCTACGATAGGCCAGCGCTCAGAGCCCGCTCTCCCATTGGGCAGGTGGCCCGTCCCTCCTACGCCACGTCTCCGGGCTGCGGTGAAAGAGGCCCGGGCGGAGGCCCTCGGCCCTCTAGAGATTTGTGAGTCGGAGTCGGGGGCTCTACCTGGAAGGGATTTACGTCCACTGGGTCCGCGAAGGGGTTGGTGTCGAAGGCCGACATGGCGGTCGGGGGCCGGCAGGCGAGCTCCGCGAGCGCTGCTGCCTCCGGGCACACAGACCCAGCGGCGCTCTGAGCAGACCCTTCACTTCCGGGAGCGAGGCAACCGTTCTGGCGCATGCGCAGCGCCCTCCCCGAGGGGCGCGGCCTCGTGACGTCACAGAGATGCGTCCCGCCCTCTGCCCGGCCCACTGGACAGCTCGGGTCGGCCACCCGCTTCCATCCTGCGCTTTCGTCTGTCTGGCCGCGCTTTGGGGGTCCCAAATGCCTCTTCCAAGTGATACGGCCCCTCTCCCCCCACGGCAACTTTGTGTTCTGACGTAAATTCTTTCCCACGGGTCCCGGGGCGGGGACGGAGGGGTTCTCGCCAGAAGTGAGCTCAGACGAGTGCGCGTCCCCCCGCCCCCTATGCCCCCCCCACGACAAGTTTTGTCCTTTTGGGGCCCCACAGGGTGGGACTTGAAGGTGGGCCTCAAGGGAGCTTGGGAGCCGTTCGTGTTTCCTCTGCAGCACGGGGTCCAGCCGCTGACCAGTGGCCGCAATGGCCGGAGCTGGGCTGTTCTGAAGCCAGGAGCCGGGAGCTTCTTCCAGGTCTCCCACGCAGGTGCAGGTGCCCAAGGACTTGGGCCATCTTCTTCTGCTTTCCCAGGCCATAGCAGAGAGCTGGATCGGAAGTGGAGCAGCCGGGACTTGAACCAGCGCCCATATGGGGATGCCGGCACTGCAGGCGGAGGCTTAGCCTTCTACACCACTGTGCTGCCCCCCATTTTTAATATTTGTTTATTTGAAAGGCAGAGATCAGTCTTCCACCTGCAGGTTCACTGCACAAATGGCTGCCAGTAGCTGAGGCTGGGCCGGGCTGAAGTCAGAAGCCAGGAACTCTGTCTGTGTGTCCCACGTGGATGGCCAGGGCTCTAGTCTTTGAGCCCTCAGAACCGCTTCCCAGGGAAGTTATCAGCAAGCTGGATTGGGAGCAGAGCCGTTGGGACTGGGGCCGGCGCTCTGCTACGGGATTGTAGCCTCTCACGCAGCGGCTTCTGCCCCGCAACTTCTTGTATTTGAGGGCAGAGAAACAGGGCTCCCATCCGCTGGTTCACTCCCCAGACACCCACAATGGCAGGGCTGGGCTGGAACCAGAGCCCAAAACCAGGAATTGAATCCAGGTCTCCCGTGCGGCTGGCAGGGAACCAACTACTTAAGCCATCATCCTCCGCCTCCCAGGGTTCCCATTCGCAGGAGGCTGGACTCAGGACTCGGACCCAGGCCCTCCAGCAGGAGATGCAGGCGCCCTAACCGACACAGCACCCCGACACCGGGGTGTCCCAGCACCAAGCAGACGCCTCCTCTGGGTGTCTGCAGTTGCTGATTGGTGCCCTGCCATCCAGTGCAGTCCAGTCCGACACCGGCTGGGGATGCCGTCAGAGCCCACAGTCCCACAGAACCGCTCCCGGTCCTGCGTTCCGCTGCCAGTCACAAGCCCCGGTGGTGACCTGGAGCTTCTGACACACCGGGTTCCCTGCGACCCCCCCACCCCCCCGGCTTCAGTAAAGATGCCTGCCCGGAGACCCCAGGAAACCCTTTACTTGCGCGCATTGGTTTGTAACGCAGGCTGAGGGGGAGCCGCACAGGGCACAGCAGGCGGGAAGGGGCGGCATGACTGCCCCCTCCTCGGGAAGAGATCAGGAAGAGAGGGAAGCAGCCATCCCCCAGCAAGGGGTCAGTTACCCGAGGGAGAGAAGCAAGAGGCGAGAGAGGGAGGGGCTGCGCTGCCTGTCGCTCCCCGTCTTCGTGGAGGAACGACACAGGACCCTGCGCTGTTCTTTCGTCTGCTCGGCCCTCCCCGGGTTTGCTGCTGGTTCTTCCCGGGTTGGCTACTATCCCTTCCACCTCCGTGGAAGGGCAGTTCCCCCTGGCCGCATTCCCCACTTCCGCAGGGGAGCGGCACACCGCCGGCCGGTTCTCTCGGGGGCTGCACGGGTTCCCTTAGATGTTCCCCATAGATGTTCCCGGTGCATGCCGTCTCTCTCCTCCTTTATAGTCCTCTTCCGCCAATCCTAACTCGGCTGCCCACACGCCAAGTACGCTGCTCTCCAATCAGGAGCAAGTCCTACAGTTAATTGGTTGAACTGGAGGCAGCTGTGCGGAAGCTGTTTACTTCTCTCCCAGCGCCATATTGTGGGAGAGCAGATGCATAGAATAAGTCTTAATTCCAGTAACAGTCTAGTCCGGGCTGCTCCCCACAGCTGCCCTTACAGGAAGTCTCTCTGTGTCGGGGGAGGGTGGCCTGGCTCGGGAGGGTTAGCGGTCTAGCCCCACAGTCTTGGCTTCCATGGGGTTGGGGTGCTCGTTAGAACCCTTGCCTTCCCCTTCTCCCTGGGGCAAACGTATGAGAGAAGCGCGGTGGGGCACGGGGAGGCAGAGCTGCTTTGTTGATGGTTCAGCTGTTTCCACTGTGCTGTCCTCTGTGTGTGGTGTTGGAAGTCATTCAGGCACTGGTAAAAGCATGGCAAGGGAGACTTCAGGGGGCTGGCGCTGTGGCGTAGTAGGTTAAGCCACCATCTGCAGCACTGGCAGTCCATATGGGTGCCAGGAGGTTTGAGTCCCGGCTGTTCCACTGCCCCCCCCCTTTTTTTAAGATTTACTTTATTCATTTGAAAGAGTTACAGAGAGAAAGAGAGGGGAGGGGATCTTCCATCCGCTGGTTCACTCCCCAAATGGCCGTAGCGGCCGGAGCTGCGCCGATCCGAAGCCAGGAGCTTCTTCCGGGTCTGCCACGCAGTGCAGGTGCCCAAGCACTTGGGCCATCTCACACTGCTTTCCCAGATCATAAACAGAGAGCTGGATTGGAAGAGGAGCAGCCGGGTCTCAAACCAGTGTCCATATGGGATGCCGGCGCTGCAGGTGGAGGGTGAGCTTACTACGCCACAGCACCGGCTCCAGCAATTTTTTTTTTAAACATTTATTTGAAAGGCAGAGTTACAGAGAGGGGAGAGAGAGAGAGAGAGAGAGAGAGATCAATCTTCCATCCGCTGGTTCACTTTCCAGATGGCAGCAACAGCTGGAGCTGGACAAGTCCTAAGTGAAGAGCCAGGAGCTTCTTCCAGTTCTCCCACGTGGGTGCAGGCGCCCTAAGACTTGGGCCACCTTCCACTGCTTTCCCAGGCACATTAGCAGGGAACTGGATCGCAAGCTGGAGCAGCTGGGACTCAAGCCAGTGCCCATATGGGATGCCGGCATCACAGGCCGCAGCTTTACCCACTGTGCCACAGCACCAGCTCCATTAGCACTTTTTAGGCAGACCCTCCCTCCCTGCTTCCCTCTGCTCCAGCCAGTTCACACCCTTCCCTTCCCAGCTGAGTCTGTGCTCAAATCCCACCTCTTCAATGAGGCTTAGCCAGACAGCCTTTAGTTGTTGGGTTTTCTTAAAACATCTATTTGAAAGGCAAAGAGAGAGAGGCAGAGAGAGAGAGAGAGAGAGAGATCTCCTATCTGCTGGTTCACTCCCCAAATGCCTGGAACAGCCAGGGCTGGGTCAGGGAGAAGCCCAGAAGACAGTCTGGGTCTCCCCGTGGGTGGCAGGAACCCAGGTACTCGAGCCCTCACCTGCTGCCTCCCACGGTGCACATTAGCAGGAGGCTGGAAGAGGAAGCAGAGTCCGGCTCAAACCTGGAAACTGATGTGGGATGCAAGTGTCCCAAGTGGTGACTTAACTGTTGCTCCAAACGTCCCCTCCCCAGATAACCCCCTTTTTAAAATATTTATAGGGCCAGCGCTGTGGCGTAGCAGGTTAAAGCCCTGGCCTGAGGCGCCGGCATCCTATATGGGCACCAGTTCATGTCCTGGCTGCCCACTTCTGACCCAGCTCTCTGCTGTGGCCTGGGAAAGCAGTAGAAGGTGGCCCAAGTGCTTGGGCCCCTGCACCCACGTGGGAGACCTGGAAGAGGCTCCTGGCTCCTGGCTCCTGATTGGCACAGCTCCGGCCATTGCAGAGTGAACCAGCAGATGGCAGATGGAAGACCTTTCTCTCTGTCTCCCTCGCACTGTAACTCTGCCTTTCAAATAAATAAAATAAATCTTTAAAAAATTTTATTTATTAGAGAGAGAGGGGGCGGGGAGATCTTCTATTTGCTGGTTCACTGACCAAGTGGCTGCAATGGCTGGGCACCTTGAACTCTGTCCGGGTCTCCCACGTGGGTGGCAGAGGTCCAAGCACTCAACCCATATTCCACTGCTTTCTCAGGCGCTTTAATAGGGAGCTGGATTGGAAGTGGAGCAGCTGGGACTTGAGCGGGCACCCACATGGGATACTGGTGTTGCAGGTGGTGGCTTAACCCGCTGCACCACAATGCTGCCCCTCCTAACCTTTTAAATTCTGCCTTGTGGAGTAGGTGTTCTGCCATCCCCACGTCCCACGCTGGAATGCCCGGGTCCCATATCCGGCTCAGAGTCCTGACTCCAGCTTTCTGTCAGGGCAGACCCTGGAAGGCAGTGGTAACTCAAGTTACTGGCTTCCTGCTGCCGACAGGGGAGGCACAGACGGCTTCCCGGCTCCTGGCTCCCATCTCAGCCCAGCCTCAGCCGTTGGGGGCATCTGGGGAGTGAACCAGCGGATGGGAGGTCTCTGTGTCTCAACCTCTCAAATTTCAAAATATTAGAAGACAATTCTGGATACAGCTGCACTCCCGGCCCCTGGCTCTGTCGCCTTTGCTGCCTTTTGGCATCCCGCTTGCTATATGACTGCGTACACCTGCCCATCCCTCGCCAGAACCTCAGCTCTGGCTCTCTGTGTAGCCTCCGTGGCACTCAGTAAGCTCCCGGTAAGTATGCGCCTGCTGAAGAGAGACCCAAGCTTGCCGTCCGAAGCCCCGGGGTCCGCGGGCGCAGGCGCAGGTGCAGGAGCGCGCGGGCGCCCTGAGAACTACATTTCCCGTGATGCTCTGGGCGCGGACCGCGGGGGCCGCCGGGAAGGGCCGACGTGCCCCGAGCCAGGTCCGGGACCTGCGAGGATGGCGAGTCCGGCAGGTGAGCCGTGGGCCGGGTGGCGGCGAGCGTGGCGGCGGCCTGGGTCCTAGGGCCTGATCCCGGCATGATGTGCCAGATCGAACCCACCCATTCCCCCGGGGCTCCGCGGAAAGAGGGGTGGGCGTCGCGCAGAGGAGGAGGGGCCATCTGCCACTGTGATTGCGGCCACCGGGCAGGGGTCCTCCGCCGACCCCGGCCACGCTCGTGTCACTCGCCGGCACCGAAGCGCGGCTCTGCACTCACGTCAGCACCGGATCCTTACTACTGCCCATCCTACAGATGGGAACACCGAGGCCGGCGGTAGGGAGGGAGCGCTTCCGGCAACCGACAAACCCCTTAACGACAGCCCTCGGGCGCGGGGCGCGCGCAGCTGGCCCCCGCTGACCCCCTGCCTGTGCCCGCAGTGTTCCCGCTGTCGTGCGTGGTGCAGCAGTACGCCTGGGGGAAGACGGGCTCCAGCAGCGAGGTGGCGCGGCTGCTGGCCAGCAGTGACCCGTCGGTCCAGATCTCCGAGGACCAGCCCTACGCAGAGGTGAGACCCACCGTGCGCCGCGGGCTGCGAGGGCCTGGGGTCAGCCGGGAAGAGTGGACGGCCTCAGGTTGGCACCGGTCCAGGGTCCGAGCGGGCACCACGAGGTTTCCTGTACCCTGCTGCCCCCGACAGCTGTCAGCACCTGCGGAATTTTAGTTCAGCGCTCCTGGACTATCAGTTGTTTGACTTTTTTTTTTTTTTCAACGTTATTAACCCACTGTTCCTCCTGCCCGTGTGGTAGAGAAAAAAGCAAACCAACCAAAGCACAGGAAGCCTTTAGCCCCAGCCTCTGAGGTTGGAGGAGGCGGTGTTAACTCCCCACGGAGCTGCCTGAGAGTCACAGCCTGTAAGTGACCTTGACAGTGCAGCTGTCACTCTCCTTGACAGACAGACCAGAAGGGCAGTAACCGAGTCACAGGGAGCCCGGTCGGGGTGGGGCCTGCCCTCTGCCGTGTGTCCAGGATGGCCCGAGCGGTCGCGGCCATGGCCGTCCTGCAGGGGGCACGCTGTTCCTGGGCGTGGGCGTTTGTCCTAAGAGTGGGGTGTTCAGGACCCCCTGTCTCTGCAGCTGTGGATGGGGGCGCACCCCCGGGGGGATGCCAAGATCCTCGGGTCACAGAAGACCTTAGGCCAGTGGATTGCGGAGAACCAAGACTGCCTGGGCTCCAAGGTCAAGGCCGCCTTTCACGGCAAGCTGCCCTTCCTCTTCAAAGTGCTCTCGGTGGAAACGGCCCTGTCCATCCAGGCGCACCCCGACAAGGTAGGGGCTCGGAGAGGGCTGCCCCTCCCACCCCAGCAGGCTCCAGCCCAGAGCTAAATCTAGGTCTGCTGACTCCCGATTTAGCGCTGCAAGGCCAATGCTGGGGACGCGGGAGCAGCGAAGTCTGAGCGGCCAGCTGGCCGGCCTGCGCCTGGGGCCTGGTTCCGGGGCTGCTTCCCTGCCCCAGGTCTGTTCACCTGCCGCCGTGGCACCAGCTGTCTCCAGCCCCGCCTGTGGCGTCTTCCTGGACAGGGCTCTGAGTCCCAGCCTGAGGCAGGCCAAGACCCGGAGCAGGGGTCACACAGCTCGCTAGTGTCGGCCAGGCCTGGCCTTTGGGGTTCCCGGCTCACCGTCTGCCCCTGTGCCCCCCCAGTTTGGCCTACTTCCCTGCTCGGGGCTGGCTGAACCCCAGGTCTCTGCATCACGCCTTGATCGCATTTGTCATTTGCTCTCCGGTGTCGGGAGGGGAAGACGAGGGCTGTGTGGGTCCTGGGTCCGTGACGGCTGCGTCCCGACCATCGTCTCCCCCGGCCGCCCCCAGGAGCTGGCCGAGAAGTTGCACCTCCAGGCTCCGCAGCACTACCCCGACGCCAACCACAAGCCCGAGATGGCCATTGCCCTCACCTCCTTCCAGGGCTTGTGCGGCTTCCGGCCGCTGGAGGAGATCGTGGCCTTCCTGCAGAGTAAGGTTGGGCAGAGAGCTCTGGGCACGCGCACGGGGCCTGGGCCGCGTGGGGAACCCGGCCGGGAGACAGAGCCGAGGGGCTGGTGGGCCGGGGCGGGGGCTGAGCAGGCTTCCACCCACTGCAGGGTTAGGGTCACACGGCGCCTGGTTAGGGCCAGGGCGGGGGCCCTCCAGCGTCCCGCTTCTGGGCCGCCCTCTTGCCTTGCCTGACGCGGGCCCCGACTCCCTGCAGAGGTGCCCGAGTTCCGGTTCCTGATCGGAGACGCCGCGGCCGCGCAGCTGCAGCAGAGCGTGGGCAGCGACTCCCAGGCCGTGGCCTCGGCTCTGCGGCGCTGCTTCTCCCAGCTCATGACCAGCGAGAAGAAGGCGGTGGTGGAGCAGCTGGACCGGCTGGTGATGCGCATCTCCCAGCAAGGTGGGTGGGGCGCAGGCCCTGCTGGTGCCTTCCCAGGCTGCGTGCTGCTTCCTGCTGCTCCCCTCGGGGAGCCTAGCACTGCTCCCGCTCCCCGCGGAGGGGGCACTCAGCTCCAACACCCCCCCGCAGCCGCTTCCCCCAGCTGGACTCGTGCTTTGGGGGACAGGGGAGCCGCGGCCTCCTCCAGACACCGGTGCCCGGAACGGGCCCTCGTTAGCTCTTTCCCTACACGCGGCTGGCGTGCCCAACCTTGTGCTAACTAAGGAGAGGTCAGGAAGTGACTGAGGGTGTGGCCGTGTCCCCGTGGCACAGGCGGAGAGCGGCTCCGGCCCTCCAGGGCTTCCCTCTGCTGCCTGGAGCTGCGGCTCTCTCCACTCCACCCCCACCAGCCGGTTTCCTGCGGGGCGGGGGCGGGGGGGGGGTGCACACCCTCCCCGTCGGGCTTTCTGTCCTCACAGCAGAACAGAACTCTTGCCCGGAGTTCACGCGGGCACAGCCCGTAGCTCCCGTGAGTCTGTGTCGACACGGGGTTCTCTCTGACCCGGGGATTTGTCCCGGGGGCGTGGCTCACGAGCGAGGTGCGAGGTTTTCCCGCCACTGTGTGAGGGGTGTCTTCCTCAGACCTTGTGCCCTTCTGACGTGGAAACATACTGCCTTCCAGCCCAGGCCGGCTGCAGCGTCTACACGCTGTGCGTCCACCTGTCTCTGCCCGGGGAAACCCACCCCGCCCCCCACCAAGTCAGCTGAGCTCGCCCTCCTGCTCGGTCCCCACGACATAGGCTAGCCCTTGGCACCCTCTGCTTCTGCTGTTTGCCTGGGACGCAGACTTCCTGAGACGGGGACTCTAGTGTCCATGGGGACGGTGGTGCCCCACGTAGACGCCTATGGGTCATCCCCTAACAGGGCCTGAGACGGGGGGGATTATAGTGTCCATGGGGATGGTGGTCCCCCGCGTGGACACCTGTGGTTCATCCCCTAACAGGGCCTGAGACGGGGACTCTAGTGTCCATGGGGATGGTGGTCCCCCGCGTGGACACCTGTGGTTCATCCCCTAACAGGGCCTGAGACGGGGACTCTGGTGTTCATGGGGATGGTGGTCCCCCGCGTGGACGCCTGTGGGTCATCTCCTAACAGGGCCTGAGACGGGGACTCTAGTGTCCATGGGGACGGTGGTGCCCCGCGTGGACGCCTGTGGGTCATCTCCTAACAGGGCCTGAGACGGGGACTCTGGTGTCCATGGGGACGGTGGTCCCCCGTGTGGACGCCTGTGGGTCATCTCCTAACAGGGCCTGAGACGGGGCGGACTCTAGTGTCCATGGGGACGGTGGTCCCCCGTGTGGACGCCTGTGGGTCATCCCTGACAGGGCCTGAGACGGGGACTCTGGTGTCCATGGGGACGGTGGTCCCCCACGTGGACGCCTGTGGGTCATCCCTGACAGGTCCTGAGCTCCGGGAGCAGGGGTTCTCAGCCGGAGCACAGTTGACCTGGCGGTGTGGCAGGGGTGGGCGCTGCTGGCATCTGGCGGGCAGAGCCCAGGGGTGCTGTGGAAACCCCAAATGCCTAGGCAGCCCCCACAACAAAGAATGTCTGACCCCACATGTTGCCGCGTTGAGGGTAGGAGGGCCGTAGTCCAGCCCTCTTGGCGGCCAGTGTGGTGCTGGGTGTGCACGCAGGCGAGCTGTGGTGAGAGGTGGTGTTGCGTGAGCCGAGCACCCCTAAGTGGCCCTGGGCTGTGCTGTGGCCCTCAGTGTGTGCCGGGAACCACATGGAGGACGTCCTCGGGGAGCTCCTGCTGCAGCTGCACCAGGAGTACCCGGGAGACATCGGCTGCTTCGCCATCTACTTCCTGAACGTGCTCACCCTGAAGCCGGGGGAGGCCATGTTCCTGGAGGCCAACGTGCCCCACGCCTACCTGAAAGGAGGTGAGCCCCACCGCAGCCCCCCGCCACAGGCCTCGTGTCCACGTCTGGACAGACGGGTCCGGCACCAGCCAGCTCGGGCCTCTGAGGGTCCCAGGCTCAGCCGGGCAGCAGCCAGCAGGGTGTCGAGGGCACCTGGGTGCTGGGCGGAGGCCGTGGGTGTCCCCTGGGTGCTGGGCGGAGGCCGTGGGTGTCCCCTGGGTGTGTGGTCCTCCCCGAGGTGCTGACGGTGCACAGAGGGCACCGTCACGGTTTGGCTGTGGACTGCTTATCCCCTCAGGCGCAGGATCCTGAGTGGGAGATGGCAGGGTTGGGGGCCTCAGGTTCCCCGGGTAGTTAGCCCCTGACAGAGGCGGGTGACCTGGCACCTCCCGCTGTCTTAGCTGCACGCTCCCAGAGAATGCCGGTCGTGCCGTTTTACCTGTGGGGCGTTGTGGAGCTCGGGTCAGGAGGCCCAGCCCGCAGAGCCCAACGCGGAAGCAGCCTTCTGCAGCTTAGCACAGGACTCTGTCTGTCCCCAGACTGCGTGGAGTGCATGGCGTGTTCAGACAACACGGTCCGCGCTGGGCTCACGCCCAAGTTCATCGACGTGCCCACCTTGTGTGAGATGCTCAGCTACAGCCCCAGCCCCAGCCAGGACCGGCTCTTCCACCCGGCACGGAGTCAGGAAGACCCCTGCCTCAGCATCTACAACCCCCCCGTGCCGGACTTCACAGTCATGAAGATGGAGGTGAGCGGGGGCAGGAAGAACCCCGGCAAGGGTCACGTGTGATGGCCACCTGGGGCTGGCTTTCGTGCTGTCCGGCCCCCCGTGGGGGCAGCCACACCTGCCCACTCCTCGGGACCAGGGAGCAGACGCGGCCTCCCTGCTGCCGGGGAGGGCGGGAGAGCTTGCTCACTGCCCGGGGCCTGCGCCCAGCGCCGACGCGAGCCGAGGCTGACCTCTGCCCTCTGCGTTTCTCCCTGCCCAGGTCCCTGGCTCTGCCGCTGAATACAAGGTGACGGCACTGGACTCAGCCAGCATCCTCCTGGTGGTGCAGGGCACGGTGACCGCCAGCACGCCCACCGCCCCGGCGGCCATCCCCCTGCGGCGCGGCGGGGTGCTCTTCATCGGGGCCAGCGAGAGCGTCTTGCTGCGGCTCACTGTGCCCGAGGACCTGCTCTTGTTCCGAGCCTGCTGCCTGCTGTAGGCGCAGCCCAGCTCTCCTCTGCCAGTGCCTTTGGGCCCTGCCCTGAGGGCCGTGCCCCGGAGGAGAGGCGTGTAGGTGGTGAGTGCGGAGCGTGCCCAGGCTAGCCATCTCCAGTAAGGGCCGTGCGCCACTCGTGGTCTCGCCCTGCACCTGGGCCAGGCCCGCGGCTCAGGAGGCAGCAGCCGGCTCCGGCCCACGTCAGCTGTGTCAGCTTAGCCCCGTCACGTGAGGCCGGGCGGCGTCTGAGGAGTCACCAGGCCAGACCGCCTGCTTCCCCAGCTGCAGGGAAGAGGAAGCCTGTGGACTGTGCTGCCTACACAGAGCCATTAAAGATCACTTGTGTGGAGGCTGTGGGGACGGCGTGCGGCCCTTGCATTCCTGTCCCGGAGCGAGCAGGGCCCTCCCACCGTGTTGTCAAGCTTTTTTTTTTTTTTTTAAGATTTACTTATTTATTTGAAAGACAGAGAGAGGCAGAGAGAGAGATCTTCCATCCACTGGTTCACTCTCCAAATGGCCGCAACAGCTGGAGCTGGGCCGATCTGAAAACCAGAAGCCAGGAGCTTGTTTTGGGTCTCCCATGTGGGTGCAGGAGCCCAAAGATTTGGGCCATCCTCTGCTGCTTTCCCAGGGCCTGGCAGAGCTGGATCAGACGTGGAGCAGCTGGGTCTCAAACTGGTGCCTATATGGGATGCCGGCACTGCAGGCGGTGGCTTTATCTGCTACGCCACAGCGCCAGCCCCCCAATTTTTAATTTGTACTTATTTGAGAGGAGGAAAAGAGACAAAACTTAATGTGTTGGTTCATTGCCCAAACGCCCATAACAGCCTTGCTGGGCCAGGAGCTCCCTGCAGGTCTCCCACGTGGGTCACCACGGCCTCCTCGGTCCTGAGCTGGGACTCAGCCCGGGAACCCTGTGTGGGACGAGGGCACCTTCTCAGACAGACTGGAAGGCAGAATGAGACCTTCCCTCCGCTGACGGGCTCTAAATGGCTGTACCAGCTTGGGGCTGCGCCAGGCCGAAGCCAGGAGCCCAGAACTTCCTCTGGGTTTTCTGTGTGGACGGCAGGGGCCCAAGCACTAGGGCCACCATTTGCTGTTAGGACAGCTGGGACATGGAACAGTGCTCACGGGGGACACCAGCATCTTGAGTGCTGGCCCGGGTGAGGCCAACTTCACTGCTAGGCCGAGACCTACCCCTAACCACTTGTGCTTCACCATCCCAGGATCCTTGGAGTGGGGGGGCAGGACACACTCGTTCCCAGATCCTCCTGCTGCCCAAGGGGCCTGTGGCCGGGGTCAGCAGCCAGCTCCTGGCCATGGCTGTGGGTCTGCACTGCCTCAGGGCAACACTGAGTAGCTGCACCAGGGCCTGCAGAGATGGACCTGCCGACCAGGAGCCCCGTCTCGGGAACCGTGTTTCCTGTGTGAGGGGAAGCCCAGCCACCTCTCCTGAGCCGGGGGGGGGGGCACCTCAGAGGGCACCCCTCTGTCCTGCGAGCCCAGGGGCGCTCAGGCCTCTGGCTCCTTGCTGGGGGCGAGGGTTTGGACCCCACGCTCTGCCCCTGCATAGTGCAGTTCCGGGAAACCACCTTGAGGGAGTGTTCTGGTTTTTTGGCTTCCAAATCCTCTCAGTTAAGAAAATACAGATGAGCCAGACAGGAAGGGTCTGTGACAGGGAGCCCACCCCAAGGAGTGACTGGCGAGGGCCTGCTCGTCGCAGGCACAGGGGGCAGCCAGCAGGGGGCGCCACCGCGGGGGCAGCACACTATCCAGGCTCACACCCAGTGCAACAGCGAGGCCGCTCAAGCAGCAGGACTGTGTTTATTGTAACATACAGAGCTGGACAAGAGCAAGCCTGGTGGCGCAAACCCCATGCGGCGCCTCCTTGCAGACACCCAGCCCTCAGAGGTAAGGCAGTGCGGCTCCGTGCCTCTGCAGGTGTTCAGCCTGCGGCCCCTGGCCCAAGTGGCCGTTTCCACCCCGCCTCACTGCGGCCTCTTGCTCTGGGCCTGCCGTGCCTCCACGAGGCATGGTGCCCGGACACAGGTGGCCCAGCTCCGGACCCGCCTCTCCAGGGACGGCCACAGCCACGCGCAGCAGCGCTGACCACAGCACCGCTCGGGCCTGGCCTTTGGAGGCCTGCTACCTGCTCTCCCAGGCGCCTCCTCCCTGACCAACTGCCCAGAGATGTGGCTCCACACCTGGCTGCCCTGGGCGCCCCCCCTCTCAAACCTGCCCTACGTCCGATCCCTTCCCACACGTGCGCTCCACCTCTGCAGAAGCAGGAAGGCCTGGACAGCGAGATTCCGAATGGTGGTGTTCCCACGCCCTGCAGGCTGGGCAGCCCAGGCCCCGGTGAACGGCCCAGCTCAGTCCCTTCTCCTTACGAAGCCGCCAGCAGTAGTCAGCCGTGGCCCTGGACAGCAGGAGTCTCCTTGGCCTCACACTGACACACTGAGACAAGCCCACCAAGGCCAGCAGGGACTCCCTGCCGAGGACAGCGGACAGGCGACAAGCAGGGCTCTCCCCAGCAGCCTGTGCCGCCCCTCGTCTGCCCCTAGTGGCCACAGGGCCTCATCACCTCATTCCCCATCCTGCCTTGCCTCGGCCCCGGGGACGCTATCCACTCCCTTTCACACAAAACAAGGAGGCCACGAGAAAACTCCAGAGGCCTGGAAAAGCAGACTGCTGTCCAGGGGGTTGTGGGAAACAATGCCCGCGTGCTGTGCCCCGGCCGAGGGCCAGAGAAGCTGTGCTGTGCTGGGGATGTCACAGGATGTCCTCAGGTGGGGCCCAGACCTGCCTTAGGTCCCCCCGATCCTGTCTGTGAGCATCGGTTTAGGCCTAAACCCACGCAGGTGCACCCACACACTGACTGCTCCCTGCAGCTCCCTCTGCTGGCAACCACGACACTGCAGGCCTCCAGGGCCAGCCGGGGCGGGGCTGACCGTCACTAAACCTGCCTGACAGCTGGACCAGGTGGGCAAGCCCCACCCACGGCCAGGCACACCGGAAGCCATCAGGCTACCTGCCTGTTCCCTGCCAAAGCCGGACAGGTGCAACCTGAAGGACAAAGGTCAAACAGCAGCAACGGCAACCCATCTCAGAGCCAGGGAGGGAAGTAGGGCACATGGAGTTCCGGAACTGGTCCCAGCCCTCTGTACCTCCAACAATGCCCCAGCCCAGCCCGGCCCGGGCACGCAGCCTGCCCTGTCCTCCCCGACAGCACCGCGTCACCCACTGCCAGAACCAGGACGCCGCCCTCAGCGGTTCTCCCAGGTCTGCTCCAGCAGAGGACAGTGCAGGACTCCACCTGCCGCCCCGCAGGCGGTCAGTGCCTCCAGTGTTCCGCGGCAGGGCCCCGTGGGCGGCCGTGCCTACTGCAGGGTGCAGGAAGAGTCCCCGGGACAGCACCAGCAGCAGGAGCACGCGGAAGAGGCCACGGGCTTAGGGGGGATGAGGTCCAGGTCCTCGTCGTCGGGCACCTCATCCAGGTGATACCCGTCCTGCAGCAGCTGCCGGCTCACTTCCTGGGTCACCTGCTGAGGAGGAGAGGCGGGGACCGTGAGCCAACAGTGACCGCTGTCCACACTCCTCCCTGGACTGCGGGACACCCAGAGCCCTGGCTAGTGCCGTCACCCCAGGGAGCTCTCACTAAAACTCCTGGCCCCTCAGAAATATCAGAGGGCCCTGGCCATGCCCATGGGGCACCAGGAATGGCCGCCTTCACAGCCGGGAGGGGCTGGCAGCACTGGGTCCTGCGAGGTGGAACCCGCCAGCCTGGTTTCACTGTTCCACCGCGCAGGAGGAAGGCGATAGCTTCCGCTTGCAAACTCCCCTCGTCTATGGCAGAGACGCAGTGAGGCCACGCGTGCAGACAGCAGTGCTGTGCAGTCCCGTCCCCAGGCCCCTCTGCCAGGGGAGCTGTGAGGCCACCGGGCCAGCCCAGCGAGGCAGCAGCAAGCTTGGTGGCAACAGGCAAGAGAGGGGCAGGGACGCTGACCTCGGGTAATGGACAAGCAGAGGAAGGACGCCCGGGGCAGGCGCTCGGCACGGCGCTGAGGGTGCTGCTGGGGCCGGGCCCTGGCTCTACTCCCGTGTCCTGCTCATGCGCACCTGGTGCAGGCGCTGGCCCCAGTGGCTGCTCCCTGTCACCCATGTGAGATACTGCGTCCCCAGCTCCCAGCCTTGGCCTGGCCCACCCTTGGCTGATGCAGGCAACTGGGGAATCAGTCAATGAATGGGAGATCTGTGTGTCTGTCTTCCTGGCTTTCAAACTCTTTCTTTCTTTCTTTCTTTTTAACAGGCAGAGTGGACAGTGAGAGAGAGAGACAGAGAGAAAGGTCTTCCTTTGCCGTTGGTTCACCCTCCAATGGCCACCGCGGCCAGTGCACCGTGCTGATCCGAAGCCGGGAGCCAAGTGCTTCACCTGGTCTCCCATGGGGTGCAGGGCCCAAGCACCTGGGCCATCCTCCACTGCCCTCCCGGGCCACAGCAGAGAGCTGGCCTGGAAGAGGGGCAACCGGGACAGGATCCGGCGCCCTGACCAGGACTAGAACCCGGTGTGCCGGCGCCGCAAGGCGGAGGATTAGCCTAGTGAGCTGCGGCGCCAGCTTCAAACAGTTTCTTAAAGTAACAAAGACAGGCATCTTGAGTTATGTATGTGTGACACGGGGAGGCAAGCCTAGGTCCAGGGGTCCAGGCTGCAAGGACATCTGGGATAACAGGGCTTCTCCACCTCGATGCAGGACTGAGATCGGTGGGCAGCAGGCCCTGGAGGTAGTGAGCTCCCCAATCCAAGAAGCATCAGGCAAGTCCAGGCTAGTGAACACTCAGCCGGGATCTAGCCAGGATTCCTTTCCCGGGGCCGCACTGTGGCGTAGCAGGCAAAGCCGCCGCCTGCAGTGCCAGCGATGCTGGTTCCAGTCCCGGCTGCTCCACTTCCCTTCCAGCTCTCTGCTGTGGCCTGGGAAAGAGTGGAAGATGGCCCAAGTGCTTGGCCCCTGCACCCACGTGGGAGACCCGGGAGAAGCTCCTGGCTCCAGATCGGCACAGCTCCGGCTGTTGCGGCCAACTGGGGAGTGAACCAGCGGATGGAAGACCCCTCTCTCTCTCTCTCTCTCTCTCTCTCTCTCTCTCTCTCTGTGTGTGTAACTCTGATTGAAATAAACAAATCTTTCTGAAAAGAGGATTCCTTTGCTAAGGTGCGGCCTGGATATCTCCGCCCCGAGGGATCTCCAGAGCTCTCCTCGGCCTATACCTCTGCTGGGGGAGGAGGGCAGACCGGAAGCTGGCGCCGTGCCCCGCACGCAGCAGGCGCCAAACAAGCATTTGGCAGAGCGGCGGTGCTGTGCGGAACTTGCCTCTGCAGAGGAGTACCCGGAGGAGTATCTGGATCCCAGCTCCCCGTCACTAGGAGAAGAGCACACGTTCACCGTGAGGCCAGGCCCACACCGGGGTCGGCCCGGGGCAGACAAGGGGCAGGTGGCCGGCCCAGGAGCAGAGACAAGGGGGCAGGTGGCTGTCCCCAGAGACAAGGGGGCAGGTCAGCCCAGCCCCAGGGGCAGACAAGGGGCAGGTGGCCAGGCCCAGGGGCAGAGACAAGGGGGCAGGTGGCCGGCCCAGGAGCAGAGACAAGGGGGGCAGGTCAGCCCGGCCCCAGGGCAGGGCAGCTCTCTCCAGAGACAAGGGGACACTTCGGCCCAGCCCCAGGGGCAGAGACAAGGGGGCAGGTGGCCGGGCCCCAGGGACAGAGACAAGGGGGCAGGTCCGCCCAGCCCCAGGGCAAAGACAAGGGGGCAGGTCCGCCCAGCCCCAGGGCAGAGACAAGGGGGCAGGTGGTGCGGCCCCACCCCACCACGCGATTACCTAGCAGTCCTGCAACCAAGCCACCCTGGCGGAGAGAGGGGCACCTGGTGGGGGGGCACTCACCTGTCCGAGTCGAGGGACACCAGGTTTTCATCTGGACTCTGGCTGAGCGCCGTGTAGCCCTTGTTAAACTTGACCGACCTGAGCGGGGATCAAGCACGGATGACAGCCCCGCCCGCCTCTCTGCACCACCCGGCAGACAGCCCCGGCCAGCCTCGGGGTGCGGGCCAGAGGCCTCCCGTCCACCCAGAGGACTGACCGCCCGCTCCCCGGAGCAGCCCCCCGCCCGCCTCTCTGCACCACCCGGCAGACAGGCCTCGGAGTCTCGTCCGTGAAAAGCAGGCAGGGGACAGGGTCCCTCCGGCCCTGGCCGGCCGCCCCCACCCTGCGCCATCCCCGCCGGGGGACCCGGGCTGGGCCCCGCACGACGCCCGCATCGGCCGCCGTGTCCCGCACACGTCCACCCGCGCCCGCCGAGACCTCCTCGCCGATGAGTCGGGGCGGAAGGCCGCGGCCCCCAGGACGCCCTTCCTCCGCAGCACCGCCCTGGCCAGCTCCCGGTGCTTCTCTGCAAGGTAAAGGGCCGGGTCAGCCGTCTCCGGCCCCTGCCGAGGCCGGAGGGACCCTCCCCGCTCGGCCTCACTCACGCAGCTTGGCCTGAAGGGAGGGAGCGCGCGCCACCATGTACGGGCCCCGCTTCTCCACGGCCGCGGGGGTGCGCTCCCCGGCCCGCAGGGCTCCGCCGCCGCTCCGTCCCGGGGGCGGCCCCACCGCTCCTGCCGCGCGGCACTGGGCCCCGCCAGGCCGGGCTCCGGAGCAGGACGCCCGCCCCGCGCGCACGCCGCCCTCCGCGGTCGCCATGGCCCGGCTCCTCCCCGCCGCCGGCGCGGCCCCGCCCACGGCCTGCGCGGCCCCGCCCACGGCCGACGCGGCTCCGCCCACTGCTGACGGCCCGCAGCCGCGCGCCCCGGGCTCCGCCTCGGCAAGATGGCGGGCGAGCGGGTTCCCCGCCCAGAGGTCTCCGGCTCCGCCTGCTGGAGGGGTCGGCCCGATGGTTCCGCCTTTCAGGGGGCTGGGCGGTTCTGGGACGACTGCGTGCGGTGCGCACGCGCTCTCTGCGCCGCTTGCAGCTTGCTTTTGGGGGGTCGTCTCACCGCAAACCCAGAGTCCGCAGGGATAAACTCGGGAGGACTTGGGTCGCACAGAAAAGGTCCATGAGAGAGAAAGGCGCCGCCTTCCCAGGAAAGGAAACAGCGGAGAGGCTCAGGAGCCCGCCGAGGCGGAGGCGGAGGCAGGGTCTGGGCGTGCGACCCTGCACCACGCTGCCCGCTCGCGGCCTGTTTCCTCGTTGTAGGACCCCCGATACACTGCCAGGTGCTTAGAGCCGGCAGTGCACGTGTGTGCTGTCACAAACCTTGCACGGCTTCCCTTTGACCACATTCTCCCAAAGCATCCCAGTGATCAGTTTTTGAATGAATGTCCTATTTCCGCTTTTTTATTTAAGATTTTTATTTGAAAGGCAGAGAGAGAGAGAGAGAGAGAGAGAGAGAGAGAGAGAGTCTTCCATCTGCTGGTTCACTCCTCGAATGGCCACAATGTCCGGAGCTGAGCTGATCAGGAGCCAGGAGCTTCCGCCAGGTCTCCCACGCAGGTGCAGGGCCCAAGGACGTGGCCATCTTCCGCTGCTTTCCCAGGCCGTGGCAGGGAGCTGCATCAGATTTGCAGCAGCCGGGATGAACCCACCACACCTGCGGATTTTCATGCACTGCAGGAGCATGGCAGTGCGGGGACGGAGGGATCGCAGATAAGAGTCTAAGCTCATTTCATTAAGAAGGACTTGTGAGGTTGTACCTGTCCATCCTGGCCTGCATGTGGCAGTTCCCTTTCCGGCTTAGGGACCGAACCTGAGAAACACGTTACGACCCTCCCACAAGCTGCACAGCCCGGGGTTGGAGGGAGACGAGGCTCGAGGGCAGGCGCAAAGTCCTTCTTCCTCGCCACTGTCATTCAAACCCTAACCCACAGCAACTGGGTTGGCTTCCTGCTGGGCCCGGGGTCCTCACAGCTCCTCCATCCATCACTACCTGTGCGGCAGGCACCATGCCAGGTCCGGCACACCTAATGACAGGTGAGGCACCTCCCAGTCCCCGGGTCTTGTTTTGGTTCCTGGAGGTGGCGGGTGCTTGGGGAGAGGTTCTTGGCTGTTAGGTAAGAGGCAAAGAGGGCTCCGTCTGTCCACTCCCCAAATGCCTCAACTGCAGGCCGGGGCTGGGCCGAAGCCAGGTCTCCCCCATGGGTAGCAGGGAATCTAACTGCTCGAGCCATCACCACCACTGCCGAGAGCTGGGAACTGGACCTAGGAACTCCCATGTGGGCCACGGGCGTCCCAGTTGGCATCTTAACCTCCAGGGCTAAAGGCCCACCCTGTTCCTAACCCTTCTCAGGACAGATAGCTCCGTGCCCACCGTCACCAAGTGCTGCTCCTGCTGCTCACCGGAGCTTCACAGGGGACAGCCGTGTCCCGCTCGGCTTCTTCCCTCGGAGCCCCTGCTCACCAGGTTTCAGACTCCAGCTCACGGAGCCTTCCATAACCGGCACCCTCAAGGTGAGCGCTGGGTCCCTCTCCCTCGAAAGCTGGTTCTCAACAAAACGCTTTTAGAATGAAAATGCTGAGGACAGAGCCAGTCGCGCGCGAGGGCAGGGCCCGGCATCGCCTCCCCTCGCCCTGCGAGGACGAGCTCCGCGGGGTCGTTACAGGCAGGGAAACCGCAGCATCAGCTGCTGAGCTCCGCACACGGGGCTGGGCTGACGCCATTCTCTCAAGGACAACCACAATGACTAACAAATACGGCATGATGCCACTAGTCTTTCATTCTCTAGAATCCTGCAAGGGGAGCCGCCGTTTTGTTAGGAAGAGACAGCACAGGGAGGGCTGCTCACGTCTGCAGTTCTAGGGCTACTGTCCATCCCACGAGGCCCACACAGACCAGAAAGAGAAACCAAAATGCAGTCACCACGCCGGGACTCTGTTCATCAGGATGGGGGGTGGGGTGTTTCAGCCTGACAAGACCACAGCTGTTTTGGTCACAACAGCCATCCTGGCCCAGAGATAACCCTGACAGCTGCTCCAAGGACTCCAGTCGTCAGGATGCCCAGCGCTAGTCCAGTGCAGGCCCCGTGGAGGGCTCCTATCTAAGGGCTGGAATGCTGGTGCTCCTTGAGGAAGGCCGGGGGCACGAGGTCAGCTGCAGGTCACCTTTGTCAGGCTTACCTTACGAACCCCTCACTACTGACTGGGGACGCGGGGACCCGTGTCTTGTGGCCACCAGAGTCGAGGCTCCCCACGTCACACTCTGCAGTCTCATTTGTCCTCTCGGGTCTCACACCTTCCCCAGCTGGTGGCCTGTTCTACCGCAGGTGTTTCCAGAACAGAGCCCAGCCTCAGCAGGCGAGATGACGTTCCCGCTACCTCCCCACCGCCCCCACCTTCCGGGGAAAGTGACCGCAGAACAGCCCACCTGCCTCTGGCCAGTGCTCTCCTCAGCCCTTCTGTCTGTCCCGTGACTTGTTGCCCGATTCCAGAATCGAAAATAAAGCCAAGACTGTTGGGCTACACCATTGCCTCTCTGATCCGAGATGTTGCTATGCACACTGGGACCTGGGCCTGAGCGCGGATTTGGATTCGCAGCGTTTTCCATCTCACTGCTCCGTGCCACCACCCTCTGTTGGCCAGCAGGACAGCCTGAATAGTGTTTCTGACAGGATTTTAATAATGAAGCCATCAGGTAGACAGGGATTACTGAACAGTCTACAACATTATGGGCGTGGACTCCTCAGAAGTGGGAAATGTGTGCATTTTATGTCAAACCTCTTGGTGCACAGTGATAGTGTTGTGGTTATGCAAGGGGGTTAGAGCCCTTATTTTTAGACATCTTAAGAATTTAGGAGTAAAATGTGTCATGTCTGAAACATACCTTTTTATTTATTTATTTATTTTTGACAGGCAGAGTGGACAGTGAGAGAGGGAGAGAAACAGAGAGAGACAGAGAGAAAGGTCTTCCTTTGCCGTTGGTTCACCCTCCAATGGCCACCGCACCGCGCTGATCCGATGGCAGGAGCCAGGTGCTTCTCCTGGTCTCCCATGGGGTGCAGGGCCCAAGCACTTGGGCCATCCTCCACTGCACTTCCGGGCCACAGCAGAGAGCTGGCCTGGAAGAGGGGCAACCGGGACAGAATCCAGCGCCCCGACCGGGACTAGAACCTGGTGTGCCGGCACGGCAAGGAGGAGGATTAGCCTAGTGAGCCGCGGCACGGCCTTAATTCCATTTAAAGATTTTATTTCTATTGTATCTGAGAGGCAGAGAGACTGGACCCAGTCGACTGGTCACTCTTCCGTCCAAGTACTTGGGCCACCTTCTGCTGCCTTCCCAGGGACAGCGGCAGGGAGCCGGCTCGGAGGCAGAGCAGCCAGGACTGAATCGGCATTCTGACCCAGGGTGTGGGTGTCCGGCATGGTGCTAACCCACTGTGCCGTGGTGGCGGCACCACGACGCTGCGTGTGTGCTCCCTTCACTTGCGCATGCAGACCTGCTGACGGGGCTCTCTGATCAGAATGCCTCCCAGCGCACCAGAAAAGCCTGGTGTCCGGGGAAGACCGTGGCCGGGCGGGCTGCCTCGCTGACTGCCGAGCGTCACTGCCCCCGCGGGCCACAGGTGCCCTGAGCCCGGTGCCTGCCGGCCCTGAGCACCACGGTCACACAAAGGCGCTGCAGCCCTCCCCAGCTCGTCAGCGGGCCCGACGGCGATCACCTCCCGCTCCTCACCGCAAACAGCACACAACACGTGATTTCAGTTCAAACTCACTCCCCGTTTATTGAGTCCCAGTTGCCACGGCATGGTCTGGTGCTCAGTAAGGAAAGCGAGTTTGCATAAGGTAATACGTTATCATCAGCATGTCCAGGTGATGGTTACAGTCAAGTAGCAACACAGTGAGTCACTGGGAGCTCACCTGGAAGAGAAAACAACAGATTAGCCAGGGAAGAATAAAGGTGCACATCTGAGTAAAAACACCTTTGAGAGCTGCTGTCCAGGGAAGCGCTATCTTCCACACCATTTCTGCTCTTACTGACCCTGCCTGAGGTCAGCTGGGGAGAGCAGGGGAGCGCGGGGGAGGCGGGAACCAGTCGGGCTGCGCAGCCTTGCCAGCATTTATACCCGAGGCTGGGCCCTCTCTCCATTCAGGAAAGTATGCGGCAGTTACTCTTTTTTTTTTTTTTTTTTTTTAATATAATTGTTTTGGGGCCGGCGCCGTGGCTCATTTGGTTAGTCCTCTGCCTGCCTGCAGCATCAGGATCCCATATGGGCGCTGGGTTCTAGTCCTGGTTGCTCCTCTTCCAGTCCAGCTCTCTGCTGTGGCCCGGGAAGGCAGTGGAGGATGGCCCCAGTGCTTGGGCCCTGCACCCGCATGGGAGACCAGGAGAAGCACCTGGCTCCTGGCTTTGGATCGGCGCAGCGCCGGCCGTGGCGGCCATTTGGGGGGTGAACCAATGGAAAAGGAAGATCTTTCTCTCTCTCTCTCACTGTACTGTCAAATAAAAAAAAATTTAAAAGAAAAGAGCCCACTGCCTTAAAGCAGGCTTTAAAAAAATCCCCCCAAATCCATCAAATTAATGTAACTCTGCTATTAAAAATTAAGGGCACGGCGACGACTCCCAGTCTACATGAGAGCAGTCATTTCCTGTGGGGGAGAAGGAAGTAACAAGGGACCCACAGGAGACATGGGCGGCAACCCCTGGACACCTCCCTGCAGACAGGGCTCCCCACACCCGTGTCCACATTTTTCTCCACGCTTGAAACGTTTAATACAGATTTCTCCTTCAGTTAAGGAGGCTTTTACTTGCCTTACTAGAAATAATAGTTTTAGGGCTGGCACTATGGTGCTGCGGGTTAAAGCCCCAGCCTGCAGTGCCCACATGGGCGCCGGTTCAAGTCCTGGCTACTCCAGTTCCAATCCAGCTCTCTGCTATGACCTGGGAAAGCAGTGGAAGATGACCCAAGTGCTTGGGCCCCTGCAGCCGCATGGGAGACCTGGAAGAAGCTCCTGGCTCCTGGCTTTGGATCAGATCAGCTCTGGTCATTGTGGCCATTTGGGGAGTGAACCAGTGGATGGAAGACCTCTCTCCCTCTGTCTCTACCTCTCTCTGTATCTCTGCCATTCAAATAAATAAATCTTAAGACAGACTAGTTTCAGCTCCTTGCAGTTGGCCCCGGCACCCTGCACTCTTCATGCTCACGGCCGCCCTCTCACAGGCAGGAACGGCCTTCAGTGGCTGAGACGTCACCCACCCTCCCAGGTCCTGCCTCCCCCAGCGGCACGCTGCCTACTCACGCAGGTTACACTTTGTCAAGGCCCAGCTCCTCTGGAGTAGAGATTCCCAGTTCATTTAAAGTTGGTCTAAGTTCCTGGATGACATAGGGGTAGATTTCCTTATGAGGTCCTGCTTTGTCCTGGCCAAGAGAACAGTCACATTTCACTCTCTCCATTAACAAAAGGAACTTAAGCTTTGATCCCATATGCAGAGGCAAGTAGCACAGAACTAATGCAGGTCATTTACTTTTAAGCTAATCCATTTGTCCAACAAAGAGGGCAACCTACACAGGCACTGTTCAAGGCAGGTGTTAAGATCCTTGAGAGTACCTAAGACAGTTAGACTAAATCCAGAACACGTATCTTTTTTCTAGAAGAAAAGAGCATCGTTTACTACTGAAGATGACACCAAGCTGAACTGTATGAAAAGACCAACACTGTATCAATAGAAATACCAGGTTTACATGCACAAAGCCAGAAAACCAACGATGCCGGTTCCTGGATTTCTACCGCACTGTCCTTGGGACACCCAGCAGGAACGCACTGCTGTGCGCAGATGCCCTGCAGTGCGGCAGAACACATACTCAGAGCCCGGAATTCCCAGAGAAGGAAGTGGTGATGACAGAATTCTGTGGAGGTAACTGAACATGGCCAGCAGGCAACGGGAATAATCACGTTAACACAGGAAAAGTTGTTTAATTTGCCTCCAATTTGAAAGCCTAACTGAATTAACCGCCAGTGCTGACTGGACTGACAGCCTGCAGAACCCTTCACCACCATTCCCACGGCAGGGAGAGCACGGTCCTCACACAGCGTCTTCGCGGGGACTGTGCAGAGCACTCTCGTCCACCTGGCTGGCACAGGCTTCCTCAGCAGCAAACGTCGGGCCGGCGCCGCGGCACAGCATGAAGCCTCCGCCTGCAGAGCCAGCATCCCATGTGGGCGCTGGTTCAAGTCCCTGCTGCTCCACTTGCGATCCCACTGTCTGCTGTGGCCTGGGAAAGCAGTGGAAGATGGCCCAAGTGCCTGGGGCCCTGCACCCGCATGGGAGACCCAGAAGAAGTTCCTGGCTTCAGATCAGCCCAGTTCTGGCCATTGCAGCCATTTAGGGAGTGAACCAGTGGATGGAAGATCTCACTCTGTCTCTCTGTAAGAGACCTCTGCCTTTCACATAAATAAATAAATCTTTAAAAAAAAAAAAAAAAAGGCAAATGAGCCAAGGAAGTGCTAACTGCTACGCTGCCTTTAAAAATTCTAGGTCTCCTTTAGGGCTGGTGCTGTGTCGCAGCAGGGTAAAGCCCTGGCCTGAAGCACTGGCATCCCATATGGGCGCTGGTTCTAGTCCCAGCTGCTCCTCTTCTGATCCAGCTCTCTGCTATGGCCTGGGAAAGCAGTGGAAGATGGCCCAAGTCCTTGGGCCCTGCACCCACGTGGGAGACCTGGGAAAAGTCCTGGCTTCAGATCGGCACAGCTCCGGCAGTTGTGACCATCTGGGGAATGAACCAGTGGATGGAAGACCTCTCTCTCTCTCTCTTTGCCTTTCAAATAAATAAAATAAATCTAGGCCTTCTTGACTATATTTCTCAAAGTCAAAATTTTTATTTAAAATGCAATGTATTTGCCCCTATGGAAAATTAAACAGTAACCAAACAAGAGGGAAGGGAATCAGTGTACAAAAATGCTTTTAAAAATTTATGGTAGAATTAAAATGTGCTATTTTGATGTAAAATATTGGAAATTCAAGCATAATTTTTAGTATATGCATTTTCCATGAACTTTTTGAACATCCTCATTTAGTTTTTAAAATCAAATAAAGTCAAACCACAGGGCTCTTTCATAATTCTTCTGGTCAACATCGTGACACTGGCATCTCACTGACCTTCACAACCTCTAGGATGCGAACTGCACTAGCAAAGTCATTTAACCGTCTGCAGGCCCGCAGAGCAGCATCGATGATTTTGGGTTCTGGCACCAGATCGTAGCCAACAAGCGTGTTCATCCCTGTGAAAACGAAGAAGAAGGGCCACGTCAGCGGGGGGCAACCCCCCTTACAGTACAACCTGGCTATCCGCACCTTTGCCCAGGCACGGACGTGTGGCTTCTGTTTGGGCCTCTATTCTCTTCATCTGCGGGATTCATCTAAACCCCCTGGGCGATGACAACACAGTGGGTCTTCCAGTCAGTGAGTTCTGGAGAGACACCTCCGAGTTTCCTTAACTGCAAATGTCTTTTCCATAAGCATTTTTTTTTTTTAAACAAGAGGGTAACTTTTAGTACAAATGTCGACTTTGGATGCTTTAACACAGATCCAATTGGAAAACAATCTAAAAACAATCAGGGAAATGCTTACGGAGGGTTAACGAGGCCTACACGAGGACACCATGGCAACACTGACGACAGACACCGTCATGTTCAACACACACGTGACTGAGGAGAACCAAGGCACAGCTCTCTCAGACGAGGGCAAGCAAAGCAAACTGCTAACTGCGCTCACCTGGCTCTGTCGTTACAGCAGCGGTTTTCAACCCAGGGTGATGCTGTCTCCCAGGAGATACCGGGCAATGTCTGACGACTTTTTGGTTATTGTAATGGTGGGTGTGCGTGCATTCAGTGGGTAGCAGGCAACAATAGCACTGAAATGTTACCATGTGAAGGACAGCCTCCTTTACCTGGCCCAACATGTCAACAGCACCCACTTTAAAACTCGCTTTGGGGTGGGCGATGTGGCACAGGGGATCCTGCATCCCATGCTGGAGTGCCTGGTTCAAGTCCTGGTTACTCTGCCCTTCCAATCTAGCTCCATGCTAATGTGTCTGGGAAGCAGTGGATGACGGCAGAAGTACCTGGGTCCTTGCCGCCCATGTGGGAAGCCCACGTGGAGCTCCAGGCTCCTGGCTTCATCCTGGCCCAGCCTGGCTGCCACAGGCATTTGGGGAGTGAACCAGTGGATGGAAGATTCTCTTCATTCCCTCTCTGTCCTTCTGCCTTTCAAATAAGAAGAACCCTGCTTTACAGAAAGCACTTAACTTAGTTAAGCTACAGTCTCCTAACTGGAAGCTGTGTGACAGTAACCAGGACGCACGATGCATTTTTAAGGAAGCCACAGAAACCGCTCACATTTACACGCCAAAACAGACACGTGTCTCCATTCCAATTACCTTTACGCAACTCCCAGGCATCTATATCGGGCTTGTTGAAGTACGTCACCCATCGAGCGTCAAACTCCTCATCTGTCTCATGCGACCCGTGGGAGTAGCAGCGAACTGACTGGAGAGCTGCAACAAGAAAGAGCAGCGACTTCGGTGGTCAAAATCGCACTTGACCTTTCTTTCTTAATGCATTCGTTATGAATCGCCAATCTATGTTGGGGGAGAAACAGTTAACAAGCCAAATGAAATCAGTCTCATGTACTGATATGCAAAGAGGCATCTGCAATGAAGCACAGTGGTGCAGGCGCTCCAGCAGAGCCCGGTCTCGTCCCAGCCGCTGCCTCCAGTGCAGCTCCTGCTGGTGCCTGGGGAAGCAGAGGAGGACGCCCAGTGCCTGGGCCCTGCCGCCCGCACTGGAAGCCTGCATGCAGCGCCTGGCTCCTGGCTCGGCCCAGCCCCAGTCTCCCATCTGCTGGTTTATTCCCCAAATAGCAGCAGATGGAAACTCTCTTTCTGTCATTAACTTTCAAATAGATACATCTTTAAAAAAAATTAAGTAAAGAACAGCAAGAAGAAGAAGTACTATATATTTGTGTTCCCCTCATGTGTAACACTAGCTTTCAACTGTTACCAGCGGTTATCTTCAGCAGGGAAAAAATCTTTTTTTTTATATCCTTCCATACGGTTTGAATTTTCACATTAAACAGACCATTAATTCCTAATGAGAAACAATGCGCATCTAGTTCAGGCCGCTCCCTATGGCTTTCCCTCTGAGTCTTATTCTCCTCTGCTAACTTTCACACATCTGTCCTCAATTCTCTCACGGGTCAGAGACAAGAACTTGGACCCTGCAGTCCCCCAGCATGTGGCAGCCGACCAGGAGAAAGAGAGAGCGCAGAGATCAGCTGTCTCCACAGCAAACAGAAGATAGCTGCCTACGTCTGTGAGCCAATTCAGGACCTCAAGTTTATCTTTTTTTTTTTTTTTTTAAGATTCATTTATTTATTTATTTGAAAGTCAGAGTTACACAGAGAGAGGAGAGGCAGGGAGAGATAGAGATGGGGGGGCTTCCAACCGCTGGTTCACTCCCCAGTTGGCAGCAATGGCCAGAGCTGTGCTGATATGAAGCCAGGAGCCAGGAGCTTCCTCCAGGTCTCCCACGTGCGTGCAGGCGCCCAAGGACTTGGGCCATCTTCCACTGCTTTCCCAGGCCATAGCAGAGACCTGGATTGGAAGTGGAGCAGCTGGGTCTCAAACCAGCGCCCATACGCTCAAGTTTATCTTTAAAAGTGGTAAAGGGGGCTGGCGCCGCGGCTCAGTGGGCTAATCCTCCACCTGCGGCGCCGGCACACCGGGTTCTAGTCCTGGTCGGGGCGCCGGATTCTGTCCCAGTTGCCCTTCTTCCAGGCCAGCTCTCTGCTGTGGCCCGGGAGTGCAGTGGAGGATGGCCCAAGTGCTTGGGCCCTGCACCCCATGGGAGACCAGGAGAAGCACCTGGCTCCTGCCATTGGATCAGCGCGGTGCGCCGGCCGCAGCGTACTGGCCGCGGCGGCCATTGGAGGGTGAACCAATGGAAAAGGAAGACCTTTCTCTCTGTTTTTTTTTTCCACGGTCCATTTTCCCTGTAAAAAAAAAAAAAAAAAAAAGTGGTAAAGGGGCCGGCGCTGTGGCGCAGCGGGTTAAAACTGCAGCCTGCAGCGCCGGTATCCCATATGGGCACTGGTTCGAGTCCTGGCTGCTCCACTTCTGATCCAGCTCTCTGCTATGGCCTGGGAAAGCAGTAGAGAATGGCCCAAGTCCTTGGGCCCTTGCGCCCACGTGGGAGACCCAGAAGAGGCTCCTGTCCTGGCTTCGGATCAGCTCAGCTCTGGCTGTTGCAGTTATTTGGGGTGTGAACCAGCAGATGGAAGACCTTTCTCTCTCTCTCTCTCTCTGTAACTCTTTCAAAATAAATAAATAAATAAATAAATAAAAGGTGGTAAAGATAGGGGCTGGTGCTGTGGCGTTGTAGGCTAAGCCTCCATTTGAGGTGCCAGCATCCCATATGCGCGCTACTCATGTATGTGTCCCGGCTGCTCCTCTTCTGATCCGGCTCTCTACTTGTGGCCTGGGAAAGCAATGGAAGATGGCCTGAGTGCTCGGGCCCCTGCACCTACATGGGAGACCAGGAAGAGACTCCTGGCTTTGGATTGGCCCAGCTCCGGCCACTGCGGCCATTTGGGGAGTGAAGCAGTAAATGGAACCCCCCCCCCACTCTACCTCTCAAATCAATAAAAACATCAGGAAAAAACAAGTTAAGAAAAGTTTTTGCGTCTGGTGTAAATTTCCCAGAGAGAGAGACCAAGGCTATCACACTTCCCAGCTGACTAGCTTTTCCTGTTTCTCCCGTCTCCTCAGGAGACTGCCATTGGCAGGTAAACTC